CTCTATGTTTACGAAAGGATATTTATCGAAATTAAATATAACATTTTGATATTTAAATAGTTATCAATCTATTGGCTAAAAAAAGATTGAAAGATATTGTAATTTTATTCTCAACTTATTTTTCCCCATTTTTTGAATCTCAAATTGTGTTTTTCATATAGATCAATTGAGATATATTATTAGTTTGTATTCGTTTGACAGATTACGATTTTTTTTATGATAATATACAAATTAAAATTATTTTAAATTTTTGTTAAATAGAGAAAATTTAATGTTTTGTTTTATAAGATTTTGTTTGAAAGTCGGCTTTATAATCATTGTTTGAAAAACCCTTGGAGGATTTGAATTTGATTTTTTTTATTGACTAGAGAGTGATAAATAATATTTTGAAAATGATAAAATTTGTTCTTATAGAAAATTCATATATTAAAGAAAATATTTAAATATGTTATTTGAGATTTTTGCTTAATACCTATTATTCTATTGTTTCGTAAATGGTTAAAATTCCAATACAAAATTTATGTAATATTTTAAGATTATTTAAATTAGGATTAATTTTGATATTTCATTTATAATTTAGTGTTTTATTTATTATGGATATTTTTTATATTTATATAATAAGGGTACTTTCGGTATTTAGGCGATTAAGTGATACATATTTTAACCATAAGGTGTAACGCCCCATGCGCACCCGGTTTGTTAACATGCAATATGGTAATATCAGCCCTGCGTACTTAATTAAAAGTAAGCGAAAGACTTATAAAAACATCACCATAGTTCTCTATAACTATGTGACATAACTTTTTCCTTTATGTTTACATTATGTAAATTGCCATACATAACTTATTCTTATCGTTAAAGATTTGTACAGTCTCATACATGCACAGTCTCTATACTTGACAACCCTTTGACCATAAATAATGATCAAATATATATCCGAAGATAATATCAAGTACTACTTCGGATATAGTCTTACGGACAACATAACGACTGTAAGTTGAACTATCTAGGGATCAAGTCCCACTGTATACTTGTCTTGTACCTGATATACAGAAAAGCCCAATACATCATATCTACATAAACTAGCATATTGCTCTATGCCATTGCAGATATCCCATCTCAAGATATACATAACTACATGCACATAATCATATCTTCTGAGTACAAATATAGGAGGCTACGTATGCCTCTCTCTAAAGGGATATCAAGATATAACTACATAAATGCATAACCATATACACATCATACCAAACAAAGCATGATCATACAATTTTTCAAAATATCTAGCTATGTAACTGCTCAAACTGGATGATCTAGCCACTCTGTGCGGGTCCCTTTCCCCTAGAGAGCTCATATGCTATTGGAGTACCTGAAATATATCTCCATAATGGGGGGTGAGAATAAATCTCAATAAACTCTGGGTTTATGGAGCAATCTCCACCCAAGAGCTCACTTCATGTATGAAGGGTTAGATCACAAAGCAAAGAAGACATCGTACACGACAACATATCCATACACATCGGGTGACTATGCTCAAGGGATGTATCTCACAAGGAGAGTCCAAATATACACTTATGAGAATCATAGATTCCCATAGAAGCAACTTACGTGGTGATCAGAGACTAATGTCCCCTCAGTTATACTTTATGTATATTGGGATCATATAACCAACGTATGTCATACACGGTGATCATAGACTAATGTCCCCTCAGTCATACCTTATGTATACCGGGATCATGACCGTGTATGGATTCACTGATCTGGAACCATCACTGCACATATCATATCATATCATATCATATCATATCATAACATAGCATAACATAACACATCATCTCATATGCATGTGCTACATGAATGCAACTATACTATGATCCAACATATATCAACCATACAATCATAAATGTGCTACATGAATGCAACTATACTATGATCCAACATATATCAACCATACAATCATAAACCAAGATCCCACGGGACCATGGTGGAACAACAAGTTTGGAGAGAACTCCTAAACCGAGAGCTTACCTTACAAAGCTCTATACCACGTTTACTTGAGACACAAGCAAACTATGCAAGATCCTCATAATCCCGTTTTGGAATCACTATATCTCTTGATTCACACTGGTTCAACAACCAATAACAAGGAATATACACAAGTCAACTTGACTTTCACTTAATCCTATCATACAACAATGGTGGATTTATTATATTAGAAAATTTCATGCCTATGAATTCATGCCATACCACAAGTCAGACCTAAAACTCATAACTTAAGTTTAGTTCACATAGAATTTAACTTATATGACTTTACCCCAAAATTAGGATTTAACTGTCTCAACATTCTTATAAACCACTTCAAATTAGTCTTTTGGTTTCATTATTAATCAACTTGATTTTCCAGCAATTAGACCACCAAGTGACTGAACCCTAACATAGACCAATTTCACATTTTCCAATATTTCACTTACCAATTTCACATTCTAATTGACACTCCGTCATAATTCAATATGAATTGCACACAATTACTACCCACAATAGACCTATAATGGCTAATTAGGGTTTATATATAGGTTCACGAATTTATTCAATTTACTACTTTAACCCAAGTGTTCATATACATCCAATACTTAGCAAAAGTACCTTCCACTTAATTAACTCATCAACCATGTGGTGTATATCAATTAAAAGACCTATTCCCGAATTGGTGCATTATTTTCCAGCATTGACAGTCTTCACTAAATAATTTATGAAAACTCCATTTCTGCTCCAATTGCTCTGAATTTTTGATATGTTGTAGACGACACATGTATCTTTAATTTTCAACAAACCACACTCAATTTGGAGTCCTAAACCTCCAGACATGAATTTTTAAAAACAGTAGCAAGAATTGGTTTCTACAAAGATAATGAATTTTTACAACTTCCAATGATTCAAACTTGATCAATCCAACTCCATAAACACCAAAGACCATGAATACATACTAAAACCCATCATAACCACATGATGTCACCATAATAATATTCAGCCATATTAAATAAAAACCCTAGAATTCATAACTTGAAAACTAACTGTTTAAACTTGAATTTCTTGACACCAATGCACTCCAAATGAACTAAGGATGATTCTTCAACCTTTAAACCAAGAAAGCATTCATCTTTAGACCCATGAACAGTATCTAGGTCATGTCTTTCAAGAGAATAAATCCAAGGATGAAGGCTTCTTTGGAGAAACAAAGTTTAGGATTTTGTTCCTTAGGCTTCAATGATCATTTTTTGTGAAATAGTCATGATATTTTTGTGAAGTTTTCTAAGAGAAATGAGCTCTCAAATCTCTCAAATCTCTAATTTTAATTATAACTTTGACCCATTTTTAATAATTAATCTAACCATAATTAGATTAATATAAGACCACTTTGAAACCATAAAATTTACTACATAATTTAATTATGCTATCTAATTCAAGTTTAGGCATAGTTTTATCAAGTTTTAGCTTACTTTGACCTATTTTACCAAATTGGCATCTATGTCTCTCAACATAACTTATACTTCTATTTAGGTCCTAATTGACTTGTTAGGCATGAATTGTATCCTCATATTCATAATCATGATAATTTCATGATTTAACTGTCAGAATTCTCACTGAACTGACAATTAACTCTTAAACCCATACTTAATTCCTTATTTAGCAAGTCTTAGTAGTGCGGGTTGGTATATAAGGGGTCTAAGGGAGAAGTTTTAAACCACATAGGTTAAGTGATATATATATATATATGGCAAAAGTATTTCTACAGCAACTTTAGATAAGCTTATCTACAACTGTCATTTTTAACTATATTCTCTCTGGAGAATATAGTTATAATGTTAAAGTTGCTCTTTTTTCTCTCTCCTCATTTACTTTTCAGAACTTTTTTGCTGACGTGGAGAGAGAGAAAAGAGCAACTTTAACGTTATAACTATATTATCCGAGAATATAGTTTGGCAGCTATAGATAAGCTTATCTAAAGTTGCTGTAGAAATGTTTACCCCTATATATATATATATATATAGGATCCTTTGACATCAGTGTCAAATTTGAAATTTAACATCTCATCTGAGAGTCGTTAGATTAGAAAAGATCAATGGTGTCACATGCTTACAAATCAAAGTCGTTGATCTTTTTTGATCTAACGGCTCTCATATGAGGTGTCAAACTTTAAAGTTGACACTGGTGTCAAAGGATCTCATCTTATATATATATATATAAACCACTGAGGATAAAAGTGAAATTTTTCTATACTCAAGAGTTTGAGTCTTGAATAGGTAGCTATGTTTAAAACTTGATAAAGAGAAGTTTGACACTCTTGTAGTTCTGCCTAGCTCAACTGGATTAGTTGATTAATCGATGAACCGGTAGAAAAGTCTAAAAAAGATTATTTATAAGGAATCATGTCATAATAGCAAAAAAAAAAATCAAGATATTGCAAAAATATACATTGACCAAAACCGTAAAACTCATAAACACAATAAACTCAATTTTTTAGGACCTGAAATAAATTTTTATGTGGAATAGAATCCATCCCTTTAAGTGAAGTATTTAGATTTTTATGGGCCATAGTAATCTAAATTAGTATGTACCTTATTGTTTAATAGCTTTTACGCTGTAGAAGTTAGACATATGTAGCCAAGCATATAATTAGTGAATAGCAACAAAGCTCTGATGAATTATTTTACTCTCCTTCAAGTTTCTTACAATTTGTTCTGTCCATGATAGGTTGTATTGCAGAAGTTCAAATTCTCTGTTGAAGATATATTCTTGTCATTATTTGAGAAGAGGGTGAGTCATTTACTTCAAACTTGCGTAGGATAAACATGTTCTGTCCATTTGCTTCCATCATTTGCAAGATAGTTCCTTAATCTATTATCCTAGGCTAAAGTCGTATCAACCCTTTTGCAGCTAGGCCAAAATAACACATAGTTTAACAAAGACAAAGGAAGATCAATTTCCGCATTGTTCAAAACATGAAAGTAGCAACAGTTGCACGTCAAGTGGGTTACCTGATTTCCTACAAAAGCATTTTGGAGAATCTTCGGAATCAAGTCAAGATTCTGCAAGACAAAAGAAAGAGGGTGCAAGAAAATCTTACTTGGGATTCTGAAGTATTCCATACTCAAACTAGTTGGTTGGGACGAGTCGATGAGATTGTTGCACAAGTGAATGCATTCTCAAACTACTATGAAGGCAAAGGTGCTTGCACAAATTTTCTGTGGCGTTACAGAGTTGGCAGAGAAGCAAGAAAGTTTATACTAAAAATTTCACAATTACATGAAGAAGGCAAATTTGATCAATTTGTGAAACTAGCAAGGCCAAGATCAAGAATAGCTACTATAAATGATATTATGGCAGCCCTAAAGGACCCTCTTATCCCAATAGTTGGAGCATGGGGGTTGGGTGGTGGAGGCACAACCTCAGTGGCCAAACACATTGGAGAGCAAGCAAAAGAACAGGACTTGTTTGATTCAGTGGTTATGATCACTGTAACTAAAAAGCCAAATGTAGAACAAGTTCAAGAAGATATTGCAGCTCCATTGGGTCTGCAATTTCAAGGGGAGATGAATGTGGAAAGAAGGAAGAGATTGCGTAGGAGAATAAAAAAAGAGAAAAGGATTCTTGTTATAGTTGATGACATCTGGGGAGAATTGAATCCTCGAGATTTTGATTTGGAGGAAATTGGAGTTCCTTTGGGTGATGAACATAAGGGGTGCAAGTTACTGCTAACATCAGGCAATTTGGATTTTATGAAAAAAATGAGGGGTACTCCAAAGGTGTTTCAACTAGAAGAGTTACTAGAAGATGAGGCTTTGAGCTTGTTTCAGATGGTTGGAGGTGTTGCTCAAGATTCTGAGGCATGTTCTATAGTAACCGAAATAGTGAAAAGTTGTGCAGGTTCGGCTCCTTTAATTTTTGTTGTAGCTAAGGCATTAAAAAATAAGGGCCTAGATGCATTGCAAGAAGCCATAATGCAGTTAAAGGATAATGTTCCACCAATAAAATTGTGTTACGATAGTTTAGATAGTGAAGAACTCAAATCTTTGTTCTTACTTCTTACTATTCGAGGAAAAAGGGCCATTAACAGGGATAACATATATATAGACATGTGGGCAGGGTTATTCAAAAATGCTGATACATTAGAGGCTGTAAGAAATAGGCGTGATTCGTTGATTAGTGAACTTTACGCTCGTGGTCTTGTGGTTGAAGATAAATCTGAATGGGTTAAAGTAGATGACTTGATATGGGAAAATATTTATTCAATAGCTCAAAGGGAACTAAAAGTTACAATGATTTCTGAAAAATGGCCACCAGAAGATTGGATGAGAAGTTCACGCTTTTGCAGCATGACTGTTGTGAATGGTTTGCATATTCCTGAAAAGTTGCAATGTCCAGAGTTGCAAGAGATTGTACTAAGTACAGATAGTTCCTCTGTGCAGGTTCCAGATTACTTTTTTGAAGAGACTAAACTTTTGAAAGTCTTGGATGTTATTGGCTTTGATTGTTCAAAACTTCCAGTTAGTTTTGGTTTGTTAAAGAATCTTCAAGCATTATCCATGCACAAATGCAAATTGGGAGACATAACTGAAGTTGGTGAGCTCACAAACCTACGAATTCTTGGCCTACATGAAAGTAGAATCCAACAATTGCCAAGAGAAATCGGACAATTCCAGAAGTTGCTATTCTTGGATTTGAGAGATACGTATCTCCAAGTGATCCCAGCCAATGTCTTATCAAACTTGACAAGCTTAGAAGAAATATATTTGAGAAACTCCTTCTGTAATTGGGAGGTTGAAAGATCCAACAAAGAGAACAACAATGCAAGCTTGAAAGAGCTAAGTAACTTGTCTCACTTGGCCTATATAGAAGACTTGTATGTTCCTGATCTTGGGGCATGGCCAGTGGACTTGTTCTTTGACAAACTAAAATCATACACGATTTTTATTGGGGATAGGTGGGGCCAGACCCATGATGGTGATTATGGATTAAAGACACTGAAACTCAAGCTCAATAGAAGGTTTCAATCCGAGGATGGAATAAAAAAGATGCTAAAAAACGTTGATGTATTGTACTTGGATGAATTGAATGGTGTCCAGAATGTTCTTAGTGATTTGGAAAGTGATTGGTTTCCCCATCTGCAGTCTCTCTCTATACAACACAATGATGAAATCAAATGCATAGTCATGAATTCAAGTCAACATGCTCTTGATGCTTTCCCCAACTTGGAGTCATTGTCTCTCGATAATCTAAGCAATTTGGAACATATTTACCATGGTCCTGTAACTGAGATATCTTTCTTCAAAATAAGAGTTATCAAAGTACACAAGTGCGATGGAATAATATGGCTCTTCTCAAATTTAATGATCAAAGGACTTCCTCATCTTGCTGATATAGAAGTTTCAGAGTGCAAGCTCATGGAGGCAATTGTGGTTGTAGAAGGTGTAGAGAATCCTCACCTAGAATTCCCTGAACTACGCTCCCTAAACTTACAAGGACTCCCCACATTAATCACTTTTTACCTCGTTAAAGAAGATCCTTCTGATTACGATGCACCTATACTTTTCAATGACAAGGTATGCACATATTTCAAGTCCTGTTAACGTATTCAAAAAATCACTAAACGAAATGCCTTTGTCTTGATAATTGTATTAAATAACAATTAATTCTCTAGAAGCTATATAGAATTTCATTTGATAATTATGTTCATTAATGTAGTATTATATATTATTGTGTGCATGCAGGTTTCTTTTCCTAATTTGGAGACAATGATGATTTCTGATGTGATTAAAATGACTGAAATATGGGATACGGATCATGATGTTCCAAATTCTTTTTTGAAACTAAAGAATGTAAGAATCACAGATTGTGAGAAATTGCAGACCGTTTTTCCTAATTCTCTTTCAAGAAATCTTCATAACTTGAAGACGTTGACGGTCAGAAATTGCATTTCAATATCGAGCATTTTTACTGCGACTTCCAAAGATAGCTTCGAAACACGACAAAAGATGATCTTTCAACTGATTGAGTTAAATTTAGTTCAGCTACCAAACTTGATGTTTGTTTTCCGGCAATGGTATAAGTTTTTTTACTCTTCAATGGTAGAGTCGGACCCAGAACAAGGTATATAACTGCATCTTTCAAATTTGGAAAAATTATATATACGGGAATAATCGATTTACAATTTTTTTACAAATTATACTAAGTATGACCGGTCATACAATTAATGTAGTTTGTAAAAATTTGTAAATATAACATTCCCTAAATATATATATATATATATATATATATATATGGGAAGAATATTTCTTCGGTAATTTGAGATAAGTTTATTTCTGGTCATTCCAAAACTACGTCCCTTTGTTTATTTATTTCTTTATATTAATTGATTCACCTTTAAATGGTTATGATTCCTTTTTTTTTTCTCTTCCTTCATTATCATTGATTCATTTTTGTACGGTTATAATTTAGTAGCCGGAGATAAAGTTATCTCAAGTAACTTGAGAAATGATAAGTGATATATATATATATATATATATATATATATATATATAAAGGGATATCGTCAAATTATATCATTATAAGTGTTCTACTTAATTTTAGTTATTAATCCTATTTATATTTAATTATTACAATTTGTTAATTATGTGAATAGTTAGATGCAAATAGAATAAATAGCAAAAATTAAATATAAGACTCATATGCTTCATATATCTGTTCATCCAAATGTACTATTTTTATTTACACTTTTCCATTTACCTCTTCTTTCCTTCTTTTTATTCTTTTTTTGGTTTTATCTTCTACCAAAAAATGTTATCGGAGGTTAGCATTTTTGCCGAAGCTTCTAGCTGGCATCATGAATAGTACATGTGCAATTGAATTTGCTGAAATGGACAGAGTGCATCTTGAAGACTTACCCAACCTTAGCTTCTTTGTCTCGGGAAATGTTGAATGGCCATCCTTGGAGAATGTAGTTGTGAAGCACTGCCCCAGAATACGCAAGTGTGGTTTGGGACACATAGAAAAGTCACAGTTGAAGTCAGCGATGTTAGATAATCAATTCCAAGAAGACATTGATAACAAGGTTGCTTATCTTTTTGAATTAGGGGTTAGTTCTCTCTCTTAAAAGCACAAGCATAATAAATAAAGGTATATGTATTTTTGGAAATATATTTTCAATCGAGTCTATTTTTAAGAATATATAGTGTAATTTATAAAAAAAAAAATTTATAAATATAACTCTTCTTATAAAAAATATATATATATATATTTGAGTTGCAGAGATATAATGTTATATATTGAAATACTTTTTGATACATGTTACATTTGAATTATATTCAATGGAGTTTTACAAAATGATTAACAAAAACAAGGAATATCTTATACTTACAGGATCAGATATCAACGATTGTTGAGTATACTATTGATGGCAATAAGGAATTGCTGAAAGCAATTGAAAACCTTCGACCTTCGCATTTCACCAACCTAAGGCGATGTCGTATTTCACATGTCTCCGAGGAAGGGCTCCTAAATGCATTTCTGTTAATTTTGATAAATAGGTCAAACGTGCTTGAATATCTCATCATTGAACAGTGCGACGATTTACAGTCGGTGTTTCGGGATACACTCGCGATACGTAAGTTCCCAATGAGCAAGGTGGTGCTCTTGGACCTCCCAAATTTGTGGACCTTCCATGGAAAATTATATGAAGCAGAATTCTCAGCTCTAAAATCTTTGATGATAGAAGACTGTCCTCAGTTGATTGAATTCACAGACGGATTTGCCACTGTGCATGAAGATTCCATAACTGACGGCAAGTCTTTCTCCCAGCTTAATGAACTCAAGTTGGTTAATTGCCACAGAATTTCTTGTGTGATCTCCTCTAAGACATTAAAAGAGTTTGGGAATTTGGAGAAACTCACTGTGAGTCATTGTAAGTCATTGAAAACAGTTTTCAAGATTCAAGGGGAAATACCTCATTCGACAGAGCCCTGCTTGCTCTTGCAGAAGCTAAGTGAATTGACTTTAATTGATCTACCCAATTTGATTCACATCATCAACAATGAAAGTATCAGCCTCTATGAAAACCTCCTATTCCTACGAGTGAAGCAATGCAACTCTCTTAGTTGCCTAGCAATGCCTCTTATGCTGAATGCAATGGAAATTTCTGATTGCCAGGCTTTGGAGAAAATTATCATCATGGATAAAGGAGAAGAAAAGGGAGGGAAATCCTTTTCTGAGTTGAAGCATGTTTCTCTTCAAAATCTAACAAGGCTCTCAGTGTTCTTTCCTCCTATATCTGAATTTCCATCCTTAGAAACATTGAGAATAGAAAATTGTCCTCTCTTGAAGACCTTTGTTGAAGAGTCCCATGAGCCCGCTCCTTCAAGCTACTTCTTCCCAAATTCAGTAAGTTTTGTTTAAAAATCTTTTATATATGTTTTACGAATGATCAGTAGATCTTATCCACCTTTGATATGATCTTACGGTCTAATCTCACTTCAGTATAAAATCTATGTTACCTATGTGTCATTTAATTTATTCTTTACATAAATGATGGAAATCAGTGATATATATATATATATATATATAATAACAGTACCATCATACTCTGCAACACAATTAACTATCATTAATACAATTTGATATGTATTGTAGTTCATGCCATATTTCCTTGTTGGTTTTATAGTCATCTAGCTGGCTGGCATAAAGTGAAACTTACCTTTTGTTCCATGCAGTTGTCATTGGACAAATTGAAGGTTCTTCAAGTAATTAATCAGGTCAATGTTGAGAAACTCTGGCACTACAATTGTCCTTTCAAATCTTTCTGTAATTTGGAAAATCTGACATTGAGCAACAACAATAATTTGTTGGAGGTCATCTCCTCCAGCATGATCATAAGATACAACAACTTGAAATTTTTGAAAGTGGATGAATGTGAATTACTGAAGGAGGTTTTTAACCTTGAAGATGATAAACCGAATCAGAATTTCCCAGAAATGCTTCCTCAACTAAAGGAATTAGCATTGAGTAACCTAAGCAGTTTGACACGTATATGGAACAAGGAACCCCAAGTTCCATTCTTCCCCAATTTGGTGTCACTTCACATTGTCCATTGCGGTAACCTCAAAATCTCACACTCTGCAACTAGAAATCTTGGGCAACTCAAATTACTGAAGTTGTATGATTGTGAGAAAATAGATGAGGTAATATCTGGCAATGAAAATGAAAATGTATTCATCACTTTCCCTAAACTAGAGTGCCTTATACTCAAGGATCTTCCAAACTTAGCAAGTTTCTGTCAACAGAGTGGAACTTTTAAATTCCCTAAATTACAGACTGTGAGGGTAAGCAATATTCCACGTATGGAGACATTTTTTGGAGGTAATCTGAACACACCATTGCTGAGAACAGTTTATATAACATTTGCCAAGAAATGTTGGCATGGAAATTTGAATGACACCATATCATATTTGTACGAAATGCAGGTACGTGAATTTTAATTTTTCATTCCAAAATTGGAAACTTATAATATGATAGTTAGTGATACAACATGTCAATGAAACATATATTCTTACTTTAAATTACTAGATTAAGAAAATAGATGTTTATACAACATGTCTATTTCGGGATTATGAAAAAATTGTATTTCATTGACAGTTGTGAAGGACACTAAATTCAAATTAAATCGAATTAATAAAATGGATGGAATAATAAGGAGCAACAATTAAAATTGGTTCGCCCGTGCATCTTTGCTTCTTCTTTATGCAAAAACAAAATTACAATAAATGCATGGAAGTATTGTCGATTGAATCTTAAGTTTTTAGGTGATTTTGTTTATAGATATTGTACCAAATCTTTCTTATATATTGCAATGTTTATCTGCATGGTTTGATCAAAAATCAATTGAAAAGCATCAGTACAAGGACAAGGAGGAAGGGACTGTAGCATCTTACTCGCTAAAAAAGACTGAGAATGACCAGTGAACAAATTCTCATCCAGCTTCTGTTACGAGGTGTGTGTCTCCAAGGTAGCCTCAAGTCTATAACTTTCTAACATATGAGGATCATTTTTTTATGTATATAAATCATTTCATATGTATGATATATCATACAAAGGAGTAAAGAAAAGATCATAATATTCAATTTAGCTAAGTGAATGAAATAGAATAATACTTCATTTACTTGAGGTAGAAATGTGCATCTTAAACTAAAAGAAAAATGTTTCACCGCACAGTCATAAGACCAGCAATGCTTTATGATACTGAATGTTTTATGATAAAAGGTCAACAAAAGCATAAGATAAGTATTACATTGATACGAATGAAGTGTTGAATGAGTGGCCATATAATAGAAAAAAGATTATGTAAGAAAAAGATTAATAGAAGCCATCATCAGGAAAATTGAAAGATAAAGGATAATTCAATATAGAGGTAAGAAAGATGATCTAGAATTGAGTGCTCCCTGTTTCGGCTTGCTTAACAATTATTTCTTTGAGTCAGTTACCCAAACACAAAAGAATTGGCCCATTAAAGTAGTTATAGACAAATTAAAGGATAATAATTGTTTGATCTATATACACGGGGAAAAGATTTGTTTATAAACATTTTTTATAAATTACACTAAGTATGACCGGTCATACACTCTTAATTAATGTATGACCGGTCAGACATAGTGTAGTTTCTAAGATTTTGTAAACAAAAAGTTTATAAAAATAATCTTCCTCAATATATGTGACGCCACTTAGTAAGAAAAAACCTTTCATTGTTGTTTTAATGAATGCGAGCTACAGACTTTTAAATTTTAAGTTCAAATTTTTTTTATTACTTATGTATATTCTTTTTATAATCTTAAATTTTTCTATAACTTTTAGATTCTACTTGAATTATGCATATCTTCATCATAATTTTAAATATTTTTTATTTAATTCATATAATACTTATGCAATACACAAATACATGCTAGTGTATTATTTATATATTTATTTTTGATCTACTTCTAAATATACATCGGTCTCTAATATTCTTTTCTATTAAGTTTAAATTTAGTTCACAGGATGTAACTTTTTATAGTTTATTAATTTTGTATAGTAATTTTTTTATTCGATAACCTAAAACATTACTTAGTTGATATATTATTGATAAGAAGCGCTGTAGAATTTCCTGCTAAAATTTCTTGATTAATCTTTTAGACGAAAACAAACTTGGTAAATTATTGATTTGGTAATTTCAGTTTTTTTTAATCGTTGTTTCTTATTTCTTTTCTTTTTTTAAGGTTAGGACCGGAGCAACAGAGAAGGATAAAAGATGAGAACACTGAAGAGATTAGAGATCATCATTAACCAGCACTGTTCGAGCTTTTTAGATGTGGAAGACGGTTAAAATTTGTATTTATGTAAATAAGATAAATTGTCTCAAAGATTTGCGTGATTTTAAAACTGATGTAAATAATTTATTGTCCTTATAGTTATAATTACTATTATATCTTAATTAATTTGATTGCTGACTGCATGACAATGTATTAACATACGCTACTACGTCATTTAGTGTACTGTACATGTACATTTTACAAAATTTGTAAGACAAATTGTTAATTTGTACCGACATGTTATTTATAGGAAAATTCAGAATCAACATACTTATATAAATTGAAAACAAAAGAGGTCAACTTTAACACAGAGCTAAATAATATGCGCATAATTTTTTTTGTTACTTTAATTAAATTGCTCACATGATTTTGAATCGAGTCTTAATCAGGAAAAGTATTTTCCAAAGATGAGAATTTTAAAATACGCTTTCATTAATGTTGACTAATTTTCAATTTACAGAAATGGGTTTTTATTTTATATTAAAGCACTTGACTTATTTTTTCTTGCTTGCATTAAACTATTTTCACTTAATTCAGGTTACACATTTGAACGTTTTTTAGTAGTCTTTATTCAAATGGTATTTTAAATATACTTATGAGTTTAACATTTTTATTTTTGCTTCATAAATTTTTTTCTTTGTCATACTCACAAAACAGTCTATGATTCTCATAAATTTTTCCTTTCTACTTTTTACAATAGATTTATTTATTTTTGTGTGAATATGGTAAAAATAAAATAAAATAAAATTATGCGGCAAAAATAAAAATATTTATTCCTATATTATTTAGATTAAATTGTAAATTACTTACTAAAGCTTTAGATTTCTAACAAATCATGTCTTTTAAAATTGTAGGTGGATTAGGTATTTTTATTATTGTTACATGCCGATTATGGTGTAGCGACAAGATATTTTTAAATAGAATAATAAAAAAATAAACATGTGAAGATTAAGTAGGTAAAATACTAATAGAGAAATATTTCTCTCAAGTTATTGGAGATAGAAAATTATTCTGCACACTCAATTAAAAGAGAGGAAAAAAAGAAAAAATAGATTAGCTCTATTATTGATGTGAGTGTGCATGCAGATAGTTTCATTTTCCTGTTACATAAAAGTATTATTTTCCATACTAATAAAGTATACATATATATAATATGCGCAAACTTTTACATGATCTACCGACATCTTGAAACAGCTTAATTTTCCTATATTTTGATCATTTCCCAATAGACAATTACAATTGAACTTCATACAAATATTCTAACCATAATTGCCACCACAAAACCTCGAAACACTTTTAATTAGACTCTAGAACTATCTCAAGGTTTCTTAATGGATGACTTTAATTTTCTTACTTAGAATGGTAGTGGGAATGCCAAACTCTTTGTAAGAGATATTTTTACTAATGGGTTAAGAGATGGACTATGATAAGTGGATTTGATATCATGTCACAACTCAAAAATCTTAAGATTATAGGTTATTCGTCTTTTGCATCACTTGATTTATATCTAATTAACATGAAACTTCTCACTCACATTTAAATTTATTTTCAACATCTTTTGCTCGAACCACTTTTTAAGTGGATAAAAAGGATCCCACAGACAGTAAAACGTGTTACATTATTTAGTACTAGACTAGATATAGATCAACCCGTTAATAAAAAAAATTGTTTCATTTTGTTTTGTTGTAAATTTTAAACGTGGAGACACAAAATAGAAGAAGAAAATTTACAGAAGACAAAGGTATTTTACTCGTTCAGAAACTTGTGATTAACAAGTTTCCTACATCAAGGATAAAGGGTTAAAATCCATTTTTCTACTTGCATTATGTCAAACCCCAATACAATGTACAACAGAGTACAAACACATCTACAACTCAAAATCGAATGCAACACTCTTAGAACAACACCTAAGAATCTAAACATGCATCTGATTTCCAGAACGAAAGAAAGCTATACATTGGCATACAACATCACGCAAGAACAGTCGATACTCTTACACCAGTTGAACCAGAAAGCTCCTTAATCTTGAACCAAAATCCACCAGACCATGAGCAATCAACACCAACAGCTCATGATCTTGAGCTTCAACAGATCCTGCAAAAGAACCAAGAAAAATAAAGGTGCAAACAAGGAGGAGGACTAGCATACAGTTATCTCAAAGAGCAACCAAAAGAGGGAATGATTTCATGATAAAATCAGCAAAACCTAAGATAGGGTTTTAGAGCTTTCGAACGAGAAAGATAAAGATGCAGAGAGGAAAAACAATTGGGTAAAGTGAATATGTGATACAAAGAAAAACTAACAAACAGAATATATCATATCAGATAAAACTAACTAACAAAAAGCAGCATTTAAACTAAATTATCAAAACAACATTACATAAAGACAAAATGCAAATCAGAATACATGATATAATAAACTACCCAATAAACGCCTATTTTAGGAATACCAATGAAGCCCACAAACTCCACCTTATTCCTAAAACCATGAAATAATGCAATAGCAAAGTGGTTTGGGATCTTAACCCAATGCCATGCATGCCTGCAGATGCAAGTAGCTACCAATATGTAAGAAATCTAGAGCTTCCCTAAATTTGCTACATGGAATAGTTTTAGTAAATATGTCAATAGGATTCACCTGAACGGAAATTTTTTCAATTCTAACAAGATAATTGGATACAACTTCTCATACAAAATGCAACCTAACATCTATATGCTTGGTCCTCTCATGATATGCATTATTTTTAGATAAGTGAATGGTACTTTGAGAGTCACACATTACCTAAGGTTGAGCTTTACCAAAACCAAACTCAGAAGTGATGCCCTTGAGGCAGAGAGCCTCTTTGACAGCCTTGATTAAAGCAATATATTAGACTTTGTAGTTGAGAGTGCTGCAATGTGTTGCAAGTTGGATTTCCAGCTTCCAACATTACCTCCAACCGTAAAGACAACCAGTGAGAGACCTCCTCTTGTTTAAGTCTGTAGCATAATCTGCATCACAATAACCCTTGACAATAAATTCATTAGAGTTATTTGCAGAACAATGCAAACAAAAATCAGAAGTACAATTCAAGTACCTAAATAACCATTTAACAACATTCTATTGATCTTTATTAGGTTTACTCATGAATCTACTAACCACACTCACACTATATGTATAATAACCTTAACCCGTGCAATTATGAAATCACAAGTGACTAATGATTTAATCAAGCATATTTGAGTTTAATTAAGCAAAAGTGCAATTAATGAGAGTTTTGGGATAAAACAGTAATTAGGCAAATTATATCCGAAATTGATAGATAATGTTGGGTGACATTATTAAGTGACATTTTGTAATGTTGAAATCACATTAGATAGATAAAAAGTGATCTTGAGATTTAAATTGAATAAAAGATATAAAGGTCATTTAACATGAAATGCTTTATTAAAGTGAAATTAGATATTTTCTTCAAAAATCTTCATCCCCTTCGTTGGTTCACTCTCAAACCCGATGACCCCATGGAAATGAGCTTGGAAACCCTTCTTCTTCATTTCTCCATGAAATTCCTTGAAGTAATGAAAAACACTTAGAATCTTAGTGTGATCATAAACTCTAATCCACAATTCCTTAAAAGCTTGAGTATGGTGAGACTTTGCTTCATGGATGTGGTGCCTCATCCTGGATTGAGGGTCTTAGAGTGGTCCATTGCTTGAGTTGAAGGTTGGAAAACTCTCCATGGACCATTTGATGATCATCCATGGTAACAAACCTTGATTCATTTCAATTATTTGATAAGTTGGATTCTAGGTTTTCATGAGACAAATATGGGTTGAATAACTATGTTAGAGCATGTTTTGAGTGTGGTTGTAGTTGGGAAGATTGAAGAGGAGATGATTTAAACGGTATGCCTTGATATTTTGAAAAGAGATTGTGTGATAGATGTGCACCTTGTGACAAGTGCACCTTGTGATAGATGTGTGCGTAGCAAAGCATTTGGTTGTTGCATTAAAACAAAGCAAAGAGATTGTGTGATTTCTGTTCTCAAGAAGAAAGTGGTTATAAGCTATGCAAGTAAGCATTATGTAAGAACCTGCACCGATAAATTGAGAAATTAAATAGAATTAATATTAATATTAATAGATTATGACTTAGGAAATATTCCATAATTAACATTGGATAATTATATAGGAATTAAAATATCTAGTTGGTTAGGCACTTTTTGAAAGAAAAGTGCAAACACCAGGTATTTCGCGGTATAAATGCATACTGGGGAAAAATATTCCTAGAAAAATTATTAAGTTAGTATTTTAAAGTATGGAGGAAAAATAATTAACAGTGGTGTTAAAACTAATACCGATGGGTTAAGTGAGATAACCTATTATAACCTTAACTTAAACATTCATCTCATCTCTCACAAAAACCTACGTAGCCTACTCTCCTCACACTTAGCCATTTCTCTTTTCTTCCTCTCCAACGCACTTAAGTTTACTCTATGGAAATCACCAAAGAATTCACATTTCTTCACCTTCTCATCACTCAACCCTTGTAAACACTCGAAAGGCAACGTATTGAGGAAGAACAACTGAGTCTTTAAAGGTTCAAGGTGCTGCCTTGGTAGGTTGTAGGTGTTTTCCACTTGGGTTGGGAAGGTTGAACCACTATTTCACCTTGCTTCGAGACTCTGGTGGAGAAGGGATCATCATTTGGCCTTGTCATTTTCGTGCTACTTGATGGAGTGAAGTGGAGAAGGAACTAGAGACCACCAAGACCATTCCTTTCACTGCTTTTGAAGCTTGGGTATATGATTCTACCCTTTATCTCTTAGTTTTCATGAAAAAGATTAAGTCTTGGACATGTAAAAAGAGAAAAATAAATAACCTAAGTATAAATTAGTATGAACAAGCCTACAAATGAAGTGTAGGACCTCTGTTATGTGGAAAAAAAAGAACCTTGAGGGATATTTTTGCGTGAAATGAATTTCTGTATTTCTATCGTGAAATATTTGGATATGATATTCATCTATTGATATTCGGATATGTCATCGATGAATATCTGGATATTCTGTAGTTTTTGAGTTCTATGTTATTTTGCTAGAACAGAACCTAGTTTAATGATATAAGACCCTTAATTGGACTATAGGGACTTATGTAAAATTATTCTAAGCTTAAAACCATGAAGTTTAGCGCTTGATGTTTTGGAAGAAGCCTGCAGTACACAAAATGAAAAAGAAATAGAACCATGTTAGGCATGAAAAGCTATATTATGTCTTCTGACTGGATTTGTACGCTAAATCTAGGTTGTGACACTGTTTGGACTATTGTCTTGTGATCTGTTGGACTTGGTGATTGAGCTACAATGTGTTGCTCAACAGGTAAGCTTTCAGTCCACGGTTTGATCCATTATTTTTTCCATCAAACCCCATGGGGGATTGGTTAGGTGCATGGTATGTTTTTCTGAAAATTATACTTGTTTATCTTATGATTAATTGGATATACTGTTGAACTGGAATCTGGTATAGTGCATTTCCATATGTATATATATGTGGGGTATTACACACGAGATGGTAATCTCTGAGTATGTCAGGCCACATACAAGATGATAAATATGTGTGTGAGGTACATGGTGGATTCCTTGTACTTTAGGTTGTAGATGTGCATAATGTCTACTTTTGTTATCTTGCCAGTATGATGCATATACACATGACATGGACATATGCTGCATTGCACACTTTTGTATACTGCTTTGTACATTCTCTTTTAAGTATTGTTGTTACTACTTTTAAACTTATACTATAGGTGTAATTGAGCTTGGGGTGGAGAAATTCTTGACCCCTTGTTTACTGAGATTTGTCAAAATCTCACCCCTTATAAGGCATGTTTTTCAGGAGCTGATATCCATGAGAGAGACACCTCTAAGGGTAAGAGGCTGGCATAGGGATTGCATGATGCTATGAGACATGCATATTTATGAGTTACAATTATACCATTATTAGACATGACTATTATTAGACTTGTTGGTTTAGATTGCCATTTGATGTGAGCATAGGTGTTGTCTATGCCACTATTAAATATTCTGTTTTATTGTTAACTTGAGTATTTGTATTATAACACCATATATATATGGATGCTCCTTGGTTAATTATTTATAAGTATAAGGTATTTCAGGCTTTCTCTTTTTGTATTGCAATTACATAAGGATGTTAATAAAAAGGAAAAGATAATTCACTTTGTGGATTACAATTTTATAAATGAAATTGATGAATTGCTTCTGCATTTTTCTAAGTAAAACAAGATGCGCTTAATACCATTGTATGTTGATACACTGGCGGCCGACGGGGTGTTACATTTTATGGTATCAGAGTAAACTTTCTAGGTAAAATCCTTATATATTAAATGTTTGTCTTGTCTGTGAGTAATTTTAGTTTGTGTTATGATAATGCATATGTAATCACTTAGTATGGTCCTGATCAACTCATCCTTTGTGTAACATGTGCAGAGCCCTCCTAGGAGAACTCGAGTAACGAACGAGGGTCAACCAAATCCTATCGTTACTGCACTTGCTGAGATGAAGGCAACTAGACAAGTCGACCAGGAGGCCAGTAGATTGACCGATCAGGTGTGATGGACGTTGTTCATGAAGCGAACCGCAAGGCCACTGAGGATGTACTTGAGGCAAACCAACTGGTGAACTTTACTATGATGCAAGTCATGTTGGAAGAGATGAAGATTGATCGCAATGATGGCTAGCATCCTCCACCACCTCCGTTCCATCATCAGGATGGTAATGGAAGTGGAGGGACTCATTCAACAGGGAGTTGATTAGAGCAACATGGAGAGTACGAGCCGCCACTTCAGTATGATCCAGCTTTACTACGAACCAGTTGAGGGCCTAGAGACTAGAAAGCGCAGGCTGAATGCTTTCCGTAAGCATAAGCCACCCTCATTTGATGGAGATTACGATCTGATTATTGCAACTAGATGGCTCCAAGCATTGGATAAGATTTTTTGAGTGATGGAGTGCACCGATCCGCAGAAGTTATATTTGCTACCTACAAGCTTGAGGGAGATGCAAATGAGTGGTGGATGAACACCTCTCAGGTTTATGAGATGCAGGGCCAGATTGCGACTTGGACATTCTTTACGGAGCTATTCTTGGGGAAATATTTCCTGTATGATGCTAGAGAATGTAAGCAGGGGGAGTTTGAGGGCCTAGTTCAGGGCTTTATAACGGTTGATGAATACTTCGCTAAATTCAAAGAATTAGCCAAATTCGCTAACTGTAGAATTGAAATGCCTACACCTGAGTTCTTGGCTTCTAAGTTTCGTAGAGGCCTAAATGAAGAGATAGTAAAAAGGATAGCTGGAGCGGCATCTAGAGACTTTGGCACTCTAGTTCAGCAATGCTGTGATATTGAGGATGTTTGTGTAACCAACAAGTAGAATAACATAGTCAAGGAATCCAAAGCGAAGGGAACTAGTGGTTCCACTCATTGGAAGGATAGGAAATTTAAGGGCAAAGGCAGTAGTGGGAGACAGTTACATGTCAGAGAACTGACTAACCAATTCAAGAGGACTTGCACCCAGCAGGGGGAGCATGGCAAGGCCACCTACCATTCCTAGATGTACTGGATGTGGGAGATCACATGTCAGACCCTGTTCCACCAGCCAGATAATTTGCTTCAAGTGTGGCTAGGAGGGCACTATTCCAGAGATTATCCTTCACCTGTTACTAGGGCCGCAGTTGCTTAAACGGCTCCACTTAAATGGTTCCTGCACCACCGGTGACCGGTCGAGTTTATACTTTAGATCGCCAACAGTCATATAGAGCTTTGAACCTTGTTAGAGGTATTATTTACGTTAGTGGTTATGACATTGATGTGTTGTTTGACTCTGGGGCTACGTATTCTTTTATTGCGGGTCCTATTGTTGTGGGGCTAAACTTGCCCATGTCTGAGCTTTCTCCACCTTTGAGGGTTACTACTACCACTAGGGACAAGTGTGATGCTTCATCTATTTATCAAGATGTAGCATTTCAGTTGGATGGCCGAGATTACTTAGCCGATCTCTTTTGTCTATCCACGGTCAACCTTGAGATCATCGTGGGCATGTACTGTCTGTCCAAAAATTATAAGATGATTGATTGCTGTGCAAAGAAGGTGGTGATGTCTCCTTGTGATGCCAATGCGAGTTCTTCTCCCTATTTGTCAGTGCTTCAGACTAGAAAGGCCTTGAAGGAAAGAGCGTATGGATATGTCATGTTGGGAGGTTTGGTGAGTAGGACACAGGAAGATATTACCAGTATTCTTGTGGTAAGAGAGTTCATCGAGGTGTTTCTTGAAGAGATTCCTAAACTTCCACCACATCGGGAGATAGAGTTCTCTATTGACTTAGTGTCTAGTGCGGGGCCTATTTTATTAGCTCCATAACGGATGTTACCACTAGAGTTGGCGGAATTGAAGAAGCACATCGAAGAACTCTCCGCCAAGAACTTCATTCGACCTAGTGTGTCTCCATGGGGAGAAACGATCATTTTCATTAAGAAGAAATATGGGAACATGAGATTGTGAACCGACTATAGACGGCTCAACAAGGTGACAATTAAGAACAAGTGTCCCATTTCACGCATTGATGATTTATTGGATCAGCTTCAAGGTGTTTGCGTGTTCTCTAAGATTGACCTTTGATCCAGATACCATCATATCCGGGTTAAGCCAGAGGATATACCCAAGACCATTTTTTCATCTAGACACGGACACTACAAGTACCAGGTGATTCCATTTGGACTCACCAATACACAAGCTGTGTTCATGCATTACATTAATCAAACCTTTAGACAATACCTTGATAAGTTCGTGATTATTTTCATCAATGATATTTTGATCTACTCCAAGAGCAAGGAGGAGCATGCGGAGCACTTGAGGATAGTTCTACAGATTCTGAAAGAGAAGAAACCTTATGTGAAACCCTCCAAATGTGAGTTTTCATTTTCAAAAGTAAAGTTTTTGGCGCATGACATTTCTGTTGAGGGAGTGGTAGTAGATCCTAGCAAGATAGAGGCTGTGATAGATTGGGAGAAACCCAAAATAGTTACGGAAGTCAGGAGTTTCTTGGGTTTGGCTGGGTACTACCGGAGATTCGTTGACGGATTCTCAAAAATGGTTTTGTCACTTACCCGTCTCACCAGAAAGGAGATTCCATTTGTGTGGATGCATAAGTATGAAGAGTCTTTTCAAGAGTTGAAGGAGAGGTTGACTACTGCTCCAGTTTTGACCCTTCCTAATACTGAGGATGAGTTTGTGTTGTACTGTGACGCTTCTAAGAAGGGACTAGGATGTGTATTGATGCAAAGAAGAAGAGTTGTTGCCTATGCTTTGAGGTAGTTGAAGCCTCGTGAAGAGAACTACCCGACTCATGATCTTGAGTTAGCGGCCATTGTTTTTGCATTGAAGATCTGGAGACACTATTTATACGAGATAAAATTTACGGTGTTCAGCGATCACAAGAGCTTAAAATATTTATTCAATCAGAAGGAGTTGAACATGAGACAGCGAAGACGGGTAGAATTCCTTGAGGACTATGACTTTAAGCTAAAGTTCCACCCAAGCAAGGCCAATGTGGTAGCTGATGCTTTGAGTCAGAAATTCATAAGTTTGTCAAATTTGATGATTAAAGATTATGAGTTGATCGAAAAATTCAGAGACTTGAGAGTTTCTTCCCTGTTTGGAGGAAGACTTCTTGAATTAGAAACTTTGAAAGTTAACAATGAATTGAAGACTCGAATTATAGAGGCACAGGTACAAGGAGAATGCCTTGAGTATGTGAAAGGCCAAGATGGTGCATCTTGGAATAACCAAGGATTTTCACTATTTCAGAACAGAATTGTGGTTCCTAGGGGTCCGATAGCGGATGAAGTGATGGCCGAAGCTCATAAAGGCTAGTTCACTATCCATCCTGGGGCTACCAAGATATATCAAGACTCGAAGATAAATTTCTGATGGCCTGGTATGAAGAAGCATATAGCAGTGTATGTGTCAAAGTGTCTGATTTGTCAGAATGTGAAGATTGAACATTAGAAACCTTCTGGTAAGCTTCAACCTCTGGATATTCTACAGTGGAAATGAGAGAGCATTTTTATGGACTTTGTTGTTGGGTTGCCAAAAACACAGGCTGGTTTTGACTCCATTTGGGTCATTGTGGACAGACTGACTAAGTCGTGAGATTGTGAAGCTTCATAGGGTGTCTAAAAGAATTGTTAGTGATCAGGACCCGAAGTTCACATTTCGATTCTAAGAGGAACTGCAGAGAGATTTTAGCACGCAATTGAGACTGAGTACAACCTATCAACCTCATGCTGATGGCCAGATTGAGCGGACCATCCAGACATTGGAGGACATGCTGAGAGCTTGCTCCTTGGAGCAAGACTCAAAATGGGAACAATACCTTCAACTAGTAGAATTTTCTTGCAACAATAGTTTTCAAGCTAGTTTGGGAATGGCTCCTTGCAAGGCACTATATGGAAGGAGATGTAAAACTCTCACCTGTTGATATGAGGTTGGGGATCAAGATTTATTCGGTCTTGACTTTGTGCGGGACACTACCAAACAAGTCGAGAGGTTTGGAGAAAAGCTGAAGCAATGGCAGAGTCGACAAAAGAGTTACTACGACAACAAACATCGACCTCTTGAGTTCAGTGAGGGCGAGCATGTATTTGTGATGTTATCATCAGTCACTGGAGTTGGTCGTTCCCTCAAAGTGAGGAAGTTGAGCCCTGGAGTTATTGAGTCATACCAGATTCTTGGTAAGGTGGGACCTGTTGCCTACCGGCTTGCCTCACCTCCGAACTTGGCCAACATCCACGATGTGTTTCATGTGTCACAACTACGGAGATACATAGTTGATCTATCCCATATTGTTCAACCTGATGATGTGGAAGTACGGATCAGCCTTAAGACTACCGTAGGTCCACTCAAGATTCTAGACCATGGTGAGAAGATACATAGGAGCAAGATCATTCCTATGGTCAAAGTCTAGTGGGAGGCAGAATGCCTGAAGAGTGCAATAGGGAGTGAGAGGACGAGCTTCTCCTGCAATATCCCGATTGAAGGACATGTATGTCTCTATTTTTGCCGATAAAATTTTAAAAAGGTGGGGTGAATGTAAGAACCATCACCGTTAAACTCGAAAATTAAATAGAAATAATATTAATATTAATAAATTTTAACTTAGGAAATAGTCCATAATTATCATTGGATAATTATATAGGAATTAAAATATATAATTGGTTAGGCACTTTTTGAAGGAAAATTGCAAACACCGGGTATTTCGCGGTATAAATCCGTACCGACGAAGTAACTCGAAAAATAAAAATAAAGATATAAATATTCCTATAAAAATTATTAAGTTAGTATTTTAAAGTGTGGAGAAAAAATAATTAACAGTAGTGTTAAAACTAATACTGATGGGTTAAGTGAGATAACCTATTATAACCTAAGCTTAAACATTCCTCTCATTTCTCGCAAAAACCTACGTAACCTACTCTCCTCACACTTAGCCTTTTCTCTCTTCTTCCACTCTAAGCAACTTGAGTTTTTTTCATGGAAATCACCAAAGAATCCACCTTTCTTCATACTCTCATCATTCAACCCTTGTAAACACTTGAAAGCCAACATATGGAGGAAGAAAAACTGAGTCTTTGAAGGTCCAAGGTGCTGCCTTGGTAGGTTGTAGGTGTTACCCACTTAGGTTGGGAGGTTGAACCACCATTTCACCTTGTTTCGAGACTTTGGTGGAGAAAGGATCATTATTTGGCCTTGTTATTTTTGTGCTACTTGCTGGACTGAATTGGAGAAAGAACTAGAGACTACCAAGACCCTTCCTTTCACTATTTTTGAAGCTTGGCTATATGCTTCTATTCTTTCTCTCTTAGTTTTCATGAAAACGATTAAGGCTTGGACATGTAAAAAGAGAAAACAAAATAACCTAAGTATAAACTAGTATGAACAAGCCTAAAAACGAAGTGTAGGACCTTTGTTGTTTGAAAAAAGGGAACCTTGAGGGATATTTTCGCGTGAAATGCATTTCTGCATTTCTGTCACGAAATAACCAGATATCATATCCGAATATAGATATCCGGATATTGATATCTGAAAATGCCCTCGATGAATATCTGGATATTCTACAGTTTTCGAGTTTTATGTTATTTCGCTCAAACAGAACCTAGTTTAATGATATAGGATCCTTAATTAGACTATAGGGACTTCTGTAAAATTAATCTAAGCTTAAAACCTTGAAGTTTAGCGCTTGAGGCTTTGGAAGAAGCCTGCAGTACGTAAAATAAAAAAGAAATAGAGCCCCATTTGGCATGAAAGGCTAGATTATGTCTTTTGACTGGATTTGTATGCTAAATCTAGACTGTGACACTGTTTCAACTGTTGTCTTATGATCTGTTGGACTTGGTGATTGAGCTAAAGTGTGTTGCTCAACAAGTAAGCTTTTGGTCCATGATTTGATCCGTTATTTGTTCCACAAAATCCCATGGGTGATTGGTTATGTGCATGGTATATTTTTCTGAAAATTATACTTGTTTATCTTATGATTAATTGGATATACTGTTGAACTGGAATTTGGTATAGTGCAATACAATATGTATATATATGTGGGGTATTCCACACGAGACGGTAATCTCTGAGTATGTCAGGCCACATACAAGATGATAAATCTGTGTGTGAGGCACATGGTTGACTCCTTGTACTATAGGTTGTAGACGTGCGTAATACCGACTTTTTGTTCTCTGGCCAGTAGGATGCATACATACATGATATGGACATATGCTGCATTGCACACTTATATATACTTCTTTGTACTTTCTCTTTTATGTACTGTCATTACTGCTTTTAAACTTATATTATACCTATAAGTGAGCTTGGAGTGGAGAAATCCTTGAGGACCCCTTATATTTCAGGAGACGATCGATATCCATGAGACAGACACCTCTAGGGGCAAGAAGCCGGCATAGTGATTGCATGATGCTTGAGACATGCATATTTATGCGTTTCCATTTTACCATGACTATTATTAGACTTGTTGGTTTAGATTGCCATTTGATGTGAGCATAGGGGTTGTCTATATGCCACTATTAAATAATTTATTTTATTGTTGACTTTAGTATTTGTATTATAGCACCATATGTATATGGATGCTTGGTTAATTATTTATAAGTATAAGGTATTTCGGACTTTCTCTTTTTGTATTGCAATTACATAAGGATGTTAATAAAAAGGAATAGATAATTCACTTTATAGATTACATTTTATAAATGAAATTAATGAACTGCTTCCGTGTTTTTCAAAGTAGAACAAGCTGCACTTAATACTATTGCATGTTGATACACTGACGGCATATGGGATGTTACATGGAGCCTTAAATT